TCTCTCTCTCTCTCTCTCTCTCTCTCTCTCTCTCTCTCTCTCTCTCTCTCTCTCTCTCTCTCTCTCTCGGTCGGAAAGGTCGCGAGTTTGAATTTCAATTTTCCGCGATCGATGCTATTTCTTTTTTTCCTTCTTTTTTCACGGAATTTATTTCGAATACATTTTAGGATCGCAGCAAGGAAATTCTTGCACGGAAAAGCGGTCTTCTTAACGCGGTTCGCACGATTTCGAAGACGAGAGCCGATATCTTTCAATTAATTTATCAAGAGCAAGAATTATTTGAACGAAAATGTATTAATAATAATAACACTTCTTGTGTTCCATCTTCGGTACGCGGTTTAAGAAACGTGAAAATTATTGATATCGTGCGTTATAAAGAGGATTCGATGAAGGAGAAGAAGAAGTACGTATACAATAACTTTCTTAAAGGAAGGTTGGGTGAGATCAGCGGGCAGCAATCATCGATCGAGATGGATCCACGCGATCCGTAATTAGCCACGTGCGGGGATAATCTTCACTTTGTATCCCCGACGTTGCATTATACATTGTGCCCGGGGATGTTGAACGGAGACGGAAAAACGTGCGGGCGTCTCACCGCCGATACAAAGAATCGATTCATTCGTTCTGGGACTGATTACACGGAGCAATTATTATTACGTGACCGTGCGATATCGACTTTGTCCGCGATAAATTATACACAATCCTTCTATTCGTATCCGCGATAAATTTCGCTCTTTTCACTTGTCCTCCTCTTTCTCTCCTCCCCACGATTTTTCCCCCGCTTTTTCCCACCCCCGTGACAGGATGAATAATAATTTTGGCGACGAGACAAATCTTTTTTTTTCTTCTTTTCAGTCTGCGATGCAGTTGATTGTGGTTGAAGAAAAAGAAGAAGAAAGATGAGAAAGATGTGATTTATGTTAAGGTAAAACGGATTAGATACAGTTTTTCTAGAATTATCGTTCATCTCGCTAAATTCGATTCTTTTTATAATTAAATGAAGATTATAAATAAGACTTTTTAAATAATCGATCAGAGAATGTTGATTATATCATTCTTGTGGTATTTGTTTTATGCATATCTAACGTGTGCAAGTGATTTCAATGAAAATGAAAATACGAAGATTTGGAACGTTCAAACGACGAGTTAAGCCTTTCAAAAATTACGTATCCTTTTTACATTTTATCAGATTTTCTTCTCATCGATTAATAATAACAAATAATAATAGAAACATTTTTACTGATTCTGTTCTCGAATGACGCAAAACGCCAAAATTTAAGCCAAGATCGATCAATCTCATCTATTCCATCTAGGCTTATCAAGGAAAAAGAGCTGGAATCGAGTGGAAAAAAGTACGAGCAAAAACCTTCTTTAACACTCGTAGCCACGATTATCGATAGCGTAACGACGTTCGATTCCTCGTCCATCCATCTTTCGTTTCGTTTCATTAAAATCAACCAGTGACACTCGGTCCTCTCGAGCTCTCGTTTTTTTTAGACCGCGCCAAGATGGAGGCGAAGAGCGCAGGCATAGTCCAAGGATGAAACGTCGACTCGTCCGATTTCTTATCGTCCTCTCCATGGACGCGTTTCTTTGTCCCAGAGCCGAGAAGTCGGATATTTTCAGGCTCTCTCACTGTGGACCCCTTGTTTTTTTGCCCTCGGCCCTCGCTCCCGACGACTTCCTTTACGCACGCTCCTCTTTGTATTTCACGGATGGATCTCGGTTCGGTAACGAAGAGTCGGTTTACGACTGGAATCTGTGGATCTTGTCGTTCCGACGAACAATGGTCGCTTTTGTGGCCCACTCGCGGGGCCAAATTTAAGCGGTTCGCGTTGTTATTCACCGCTGCCGATACGAGGAGCAGAATGGAGAGGCTTGCTAAACTCTTCGCGTCCCGTATCGAACCCGTCCTCCGAACCTTTTCTCTCGTCCACCAATTTTCATATTTCTTTTGATTCGTTCATGATTTAAATATCCCCCGTAAATATTGCGTGAAATTTCGTTCGATCGATTCGGAAATTCGAGCAGGGAATATTTCCTTCTGAATCTTTCAGAATTTTTACGTCTCTATTTCGTTTCCGATTCATAAATCGTAGGTACTTATTTTCTTTCGATACGAATTGAAAATTGATTTTTCTGGACCGTTTACGTTTTCGTGTGCATAGTTTTCTTTCGAGCTGTACACGGAACGAACTTTGATATAAGCAGATTTCAAAAGTGGAAATCAACGACCAACGTTCTGCCTGACACTTTTTACGTTTGAATAGCAATAGGCTCTGCGTTGTTGGACAGAATTAAAAAAGAAGAGGAGAAGAAAATCTATACGTATATCGATACATCTATTCAAAAAAAAAAATGACGTTTAAACACCGCTAGATGAAAATTTTATTTTAACTTTGTCTTGTCAATAAGTAAAATATGCCGAAAATGTACGAATAAAATATTACTGAACCGATCAAGCGATCTAAAAATTGATAACCTCGGCGTAAAATATAGGGAATACTCTTTGTTAGCATAAAAACTTTCGTTACAATTTTTTATTATTGTCGAGCACTTTATACTTTTGTTAAACTTCTTGCAACATCCGCAATCCAAGATCTCACTAATTTCTAAACCTTGATTTCACAATTCCAATAGAATTATAAGAAAAATTATCTCCACCTAAGCTAACTCTTCGCTCTACTCCGGTTCAACATTCGTTTTTTGAAAAAAGAGCAATTCATTCCATCAAAATTCTCCGATCTCCGTTCCGCTATATATCGATTCAATATCGTTGGATGGAGGAAGATAATCGTTTCACAGCGATATTAAAGAAAAAAGAGAAAAAAAGATCATTTTTTTAAACTCGGTATTTACCGGTTATGTAAAGCGTTCTTATTGAAGGCATCGATGGCAAACAACAGGGAGATTAAAAGGCGTGGCGATTGCAACATCACAGGAACGAATCAACGTACGCCTCCGTTTGGGGGATTCGAGGGGACAATATCGGCTAATTAGAACGAGAGATTACGTAACACGAACCGAATCGTAATAAACGCGATAAACCGTGGATCTCGCGAATTCGGGGAAAACAGGAAGGAACGGCTCGGCCAATGGAGCCAGGCCTCATTTCCTCCGGCTGACCGGCCACTTCCTGGCGCCGTTTAATTAATGTCGTCCACTATCGCGGGCAGAAAGACGGGGAGAGAACGAGAACTGTGAATAGCCGAATAACGCGACAGCTGGACAGCTACTTTATTTCTCCAATGGCCGGAATATTTGCTGCTCGAAAACCCTCGAATCTCCATTTCTCCATTTCGCCATTGTGGCTCGAAGAACGATGAATACTTTTTTTTTTTTTTTTTGCCAAGATAATTCACGCGCGTAACGCCAATTTATTGGCAATTCGAAGGTATAAAAATTTAGTTTTTTCGATTATTCGCGAAGATAAAATTATTAAAACTTGCGTTCTCTCGAGGAATCGCGGGCCAACCCCTCAAAAAATCCAATTAAAAAAAGAAAGAAAGAAAGAAAAGGAGACTAACCAATGCGCGTTGTGCCCGGTCGGCGTGGAGGTGGGCGGGGGGCTGTTCCGCCTGTTGTTACTCGTGTCGTCCTGGAGCGACAGCGACTCGCTGTTCATCTTGAAGGTTAACCTCTTCAGCACGTCGTCCATGGATCTCTTGGTTGTCGCGGTGGTAGCGTTCCCCCCGTTGTTGTTATTGTTGTTATTATTCTGCGTCACGGTGTTGTTGTTGTTGTTGTGATGGGGGTGGGTCGGGTAGTAGGGGTCGACGGTTAAGGGTGTGGGGGGCGAGCCGCACTCGGAGGAGCTGGCCGGTTCCACGACGCCGCCCGACGACGAGGATGTGTTCGTGTGGTGATGGTGGTGGTGATGGTGGTGGTGGTGGTGGTGGTGGGTGGGGGGGATAGTGGTGGTAGGCCAGGGCCTCCTGCCCGGTCAACACGATCCTCTGCCGCTTGCTTGTCCGCAAGGAATTCGACGATGGCGAGGGCGAGTCCCTGAGATCGGGCTCGCTGGTTGTCGCCGGCGACGAGCAGCCGGACGACTCGCAGTCACCTCCCCTCTGGTGAGGGTAACAGTCCTCGATGTCGACGGGGGTGGTGGGACCCTCTTCACCCACGGCTACCTCGCCACCGGGACCGCCGGTCACCGACGAGGTCGTGTCCTCCTCCTCCTCGTTTGCGCCTGCCACTGTACCCGTGCCGCCCCCGCCCTCCGATAGCTTCGTTGGTGGTGACTTCCTCTTTGAGGACATCCTCAATCTGCAACCGATATTAGGAATTAATTCTTTTTCCGCTCCCCGATATGACACGATTCGAGAGACGTGCGTGGATCGACATGTGCCGGAAACGGTTTGTGTCGCGTTCATGCATGGTGTAAAAATTGGTGGAAACGTTCGAGCGTGCAAAAATTCGAACGCTTATAATGTATAACGCTTGAAACGCATAAAAGCGATCTCTGTATCCCCCTCTGTTCTTTCGCGAATTCTTTGTCACTAGTGTGTGTAATTAAAAGAAAGAAAGGAGGAGGGGGGAAGGGGGAGGGGATTTCCCCTTAGTCGATCGATTCGTTGAACGCGATGACATGGCAGTAGTAGTAGAATTCTTGCAAAGTATCGCGGGAGTATACGTTTTGTCAATATAATAATCTAAGTTAACGTAGCTTTTAAAAAAAACGTCGATACGTTCGTTTGTTTTCTTTGTTAACGCTTCACACATTCGACTGTTTTTCAGCGGGACACGCGCACGACGCGTGAAGCGGCACTTTCTTGCCGGAACCCGAGATATTATTCTCGAACGATGCATCGCCTATCTGTGGTAATATTTCATCGCGCGAAGAGATGAAATTTTTAGTTGATCTCTAGAAACTGAACCCCGATCGAAAGAATTATCCAGAATTATTTATTCGCGAATGCAAATTTTTCGAAGCGGGTAAAGCCGCGTATATTAAATCGAAACTCTGCTCCACGTGCAAACACAATTTTTTCCACACATTTCCTCGAATAGAGAGATGCTACACGTTCGAGATTTCATCATACGTACGACAATGCTGAACTTTTTCTTTGTTCTCTCTCTCTCCCCCTCCCCCTCTCTCTTTCCCTTCGATCTTCAACATCAAGGAAAAAGCGTAGAGAGCACTTTATACCCATGTGCGACACAGGTTGCGTAACGATTACAAAGTTGCAAGTGCATCGAGCGACGGGTCATGGAATTTATCTCTGCGGCTGTTGTTGGATGCAGTTACGAATCTCGTTATAATTCATAACGTAACCGTCGGCGCGGTTGTAACGCTATCACGTGTGTTGCCGATAAGCGATCGCGAGAGACTATTCTTCGTTCGAGGCTCGAACGAAGGAGGAGGGAGAGGGGGGAGAGGGGGAGAGGAAGAATGGCAAGGCGCGAGCGTGAATGTAACGTATCGGAGAGAAGTCGGGACGTCCGTCTTCTTTGTCTTGGGAAGGGATTACATTAACGATTTCAAGAGCAACGACGATGCTCGCTGCTTTAAGGATTCCCCTTCTTATATTAATATTTATTAATCATTTATCTCTTTTATTTCTCAAGTCCAATTCAAAGGCTGACGATTGCAACACTTATTGTAACGATATCTTCTTAACGAGGTTGCAATAATCCAAAGTCAAAAGATCTTTTTCTTAATGGAATTATTACGGTGTTACACGAACCGGGAATCGTTTATTTGTTGTGCGATTCATTCTCGTTTCGTTTTCCATTATTTATTGTTATTAAATCTCCGAGCCAACCAATCCGTTTGGCACGTAACGGATTAAACTTCATTTTAAACATCTAATTAATCAATTTCTTTTCTCCCTCACAACAAGTGACCTTATACGCTTTATTACGCTTAATCGAAGTAAAATTCCCGCGCTTTTTATCTTCCCCTCCCTGAAAAAAAAAATTTACTCGAGACATTAATCGTGAAAATAACGTATATTGCCGAAACAATTTCTGTCGAATCTCTAATACCTCGCTCCCTATTACCGATCCACCTAGCCCACCCCCTCAAACTCAATTCAAAGACAGACGGGCACCTACACCTACCATCACCGTCCAAGGGTCTCCAGATCGCCTCCTTGCGTCTATTCACCGTCTAAACTCTATCTGTCGCTAATTTGGTCCCGGCCAGTCCACCAATTTCCGTCTCCAAATTACCGAATCTAAATCTAAATCTCGCGATCGACCTTAGCCGAGACCCGCCGCTCTGTCACCGATTACATAATCGAACATAAGGCGCAATAATCGAGCCGCGATTATATCGAGCGTGGATTATTGTTGTGTGCGCGGGTGTTGTAATCGCCACGCTCTCTATTCCATCAATCAGGAGAGAGAAGGGGGAGGGGAAGAAGAGCTCCGATTATCTTCGTCTTCGTGGCGAAGAAGCGGAGGTCGTTGCGAGGTCAGCGCCTAGCGGCGTCCAAAATCACCAGACGATATTCCAGAGATTGGCCTTTTGTCGAAAAATTTGATCGAGAGTCGCGCTTTGTTTGGATTCGTGGATCTCGTCGATGGAAGTGGAGTATTTGTTTTTCATTTTGAGGTAATTTTTGAGGTATCGTGGTGCTTGATTTTATTCGAAACTCTTCGTTTCTCTTGAGGGGGGGGAGGGGGGGGGGGAGGGGAAGAAGAAAAGAAAAAAAAAGAATCTGCTAATTCAGAGAAACGAGTAGAGGTCATGGAGGTTCGAGCTGCCAGATGGTGGTCGTTTTGATCGAACGATACAAATAAATATTTATATTTGTGTCAAAGAAGAATTGGAAACGATCAATCATCGCTTCAATTATGAACAAAGGTTGCAATAGCGCGAAGTTGAGAATTATTCCAATTAAAGTAGAAGAGTGTGAATGGGATTAAGTCTGGATAAAGCGTTTGAGGTAATTGCAATTTTTCTAGCTGTTATTTCTAATTGTTATCTTCTTATTATATTTTGTATAGAAATAATAATATGTACATGCGTAATTTTTTTTTTTTATTACGCGGATAAAACAATTGAATAAGATCGGGAACTGATTGAAGATAGATCGAATTAAGATCAGGCTCTATAGATTAACAATGATCGTGACGCAATAGATTTGAAGAATTCTAGAAGAACAGAAATATTATTCGTTACCTCTATATTCTTCATATTCTTTTGAAAGTAAAAATTTCTGGGGGCGGAAAAAAGTATCTTTTTTTTTTTTTTTTTTGTCAGATAAAAACAAAAAGAAAACAAAAATTATAGTTATGAGTATTATCTGTCTTTTGTATAGTAGGAGAATAATATATATATAATTATATCTGATTTTAGGAAGCAGTCACGGTATAAATATCACGAATATGTCCGGAAATGAAGCGATTTCAAAGAGATCAGTTTCTCAGATTAAAAAAAAGAAAGAAAAGAGAAAGAAAAAAAAAGTTGCAAATTAGAAAATTATACAATTCATTTATTTTACGCGCAAAATACTTGGTCTGCTAATTGGTATTATCTGTGATATCAGATTAATCTTTTATATCTCATAATACATATCTAAAAATGTATTTAAGTGAAAATAATAATATTTTGTTCTTTACATTTCATGTTTCACATTTCAAGATTTTATATATACACACTATATATATTTAGCACAATTGTGTGAGACTTCATAATCCAACCACTCTAACTATAGTTTACTTTGTATCATATTCTATTTCAACCTCGTGCTACCATGTTAGCATCTTTACTGCGATAAATATATATCTAAACGCAGAAATCTATTGTTAGTCTTCACCGGTTATTTCCAACAATACGCATTAGTTAAAACCTTAAACAAGGTTTAATAACTCGGTAATTTAATACCTCGTTTTCAAATTATCATCAGATTATTTTATATATAAATTCATCGTCTATAATTTCATCATTTAACATTTTTCTTTTTTTCTTTTTTTTTTTTTTTCCTTCCTTTTTTTCAACGTTACGACTTCAAAATAAAGGGATTCTTCGATTCGAATTGTTTTAAAAAAACTCGTATCGAAACAAAAGTTTACGTTCAATCCGCATAATCGCAACGTGCTACGAATTAAATTCAAATAAAAATTCGCTCCGATTAACACAGAAAGAAAGAAACAAAAAAAAAAATCTTATCATCCCATTTCAAAAAGATTTTATTTCCTCGTTTTTACAAAAATCGTCTCGACACCGCGTCATCAACGATAAAATTCGTCGTTTAACGAATGCACGCGCGCCTCGTGCGATGATTGGCCACACGTGCTTTCTCGCGAGTTCACCGTAGCCAATGTCACATGTCACTGGATAAAGGATCATCGTGTGTCGTGTTTTCAAAATCCTAACCAAAGAAGAATCTAATCGCGATTCAGATATAGAATTATTCAAAATAATTTTTCGATATAATCGCGATACAATCATTCATTGCGTTCGAAAACGCAACAATTTTATGCAAATAAATAAGTAAGGACGATCTCTTTCCCTTCTTGATTCAATTAGAGCAAGTTTAGAGCGATTGGAGGAGATTTAGGATGAGGAGATTGCGGTCGAAAGTCCATAGCGTGTCCTCATTGATCCCGGACTCGAGATAATCGTGGTCACAGACGCCGAATTTCTTCTCGGTTTGTGCGTACTTTGACGGCGTTTGACACAAGAGAGGCGGATATTTTTGCGCTGATCATCCGTTTTCAGCGTCGAACCTCTGAATATTCTTACGTACGATCATTCTTATTCGCCTGCGTTAAGTACACTGGCGAGAATCCGATTCTTCTTTTTTCTTTTTCTTTTTCTTTTTTTTTTTTCTTCTTGAAGCGGAGAATCGATTGCGTAAACACGTATACACTCGTTCGTTTGAATATCCTTCGTTTTAGCCTTTGCCTCTTCAGATAAGATATACGTAGCGAAAGACGTAGCACTACGTCAGAGAATGAAATTTCGGGACGCGTTATTACGTCCCGAAATTTTAAAGTTTTAAATGGAAAAGTTACATGGTCAAATAATAATAATAATAATAATGTTTATAATAATGAAAACGTAAAAAGAAAAGAATTCAATTGTACATTATGAAATAATATTTACAAAGAGTGAAACGAAGAGTGAGATATAATAAAAAAAAATAAAACGTATATACGATGGTTAAATTTTCGATTAAAAAGAAAAAAAGAAAGTAAAAATATAAAGTTTTAAGCGAGTATCGCAAACTCGATAATTCCGAATCATTGCATAATTATAATGGTATCAGTTACATACGTATATTTTGATGAACGAAAAATTACTGTTGAATGAA